ATTGATTTTACTAGTGAGGAGCTGAGCAATATCTCGTTTCAGCGTCCGTCGCATGGCCGCGACACCTGGACCAGGGTCGGGTCTGTCCAGTCCACAGTGGTCCTACACTTGAGTTGTGGGGACTGGACACAACAACGAGCACTACGTCCCTAAACGCTTTCTTCCCTAAGTGTGTCCTCACGTTTGAGAGAGTGCGCTGCTTTGTGCGTCATGTAGCCGTGGTCTTCATCGCATTTTCTTTAGCTTGATGGCTTTGACCTTTGCCGCGACCCCTAATGTGGGAGTGGAAACCCAAACTCTCCCTTCCCATGAGCCCTCTGGACAGACAGAGAGATTGTTCCTCAGGAAACACGGGTTAGGAAGTCAGAGAGGAAGCTGGCCTTTCGTTCTAAATACAACCCTCCTCTGGAGGCCGGCGTGTCGGAGGAGAATTGGTCGGTAAATCTCCTTTAAACGTCGACCCCTCACTCTACTTGGCTTCGTTGCTAATTTTACGGCCTTGCAGTGAACCAAAACATCATTATCGTCCTTCTGTTTTGCTGTGAATTGGCAGTGAAGGGCCAAAAGACCCACATTTCCAGAACGGCGTTTGTTCCGAACCTTTCGGGGCCCGTGGTTGCAGCACCGCCGCGGGGCGAAGCCGTCCAAACCAGCCCGGCCGCGCATCTGACGGCGCATCCCACCCAGCGTGAGACGAGGGGCAGTGGAAGTGGAGCGGACGGGCACGCCGGAGCGATCCGTGGGAACGACATCGGCGCGAGCAGCTGGTGGTTCACCACTAACAATGCTGCGGCTGCTCCTACGGACAATTAATCGCTGCGAGGTCTCGTTTCCCTCTCGTTCTCTCCCTTTCTCCCTCCCTCACCCTCTTCATCTGAGGACAGTTCCGCCCTACGAGATGACCACAGCCCCCCCTCCTCATATGAATTTGGCAAACATACCATGAGACATGAAAGAAGGAAAAACATGAACGTTTGACGAAGCTCATCCGGGCAAGATGTGGGGATCGGGGAGGGGGGGGGGGGCACAGGGAACGACCACTCACGACACGCAACGACACATTTATGAAATCAAACTTCAATAATCCATGAGCCTGATTGCTTAACAATCCGTCTTGTCTGTATCAACAAAAACATGCTCACATGCTCGGAAAAAATGGGAAGTTATGTTCTTTAGAAATCTGTGAAATTGAATATGTCTGTTTACTGTAGTTAAAAGGTGCTTGGAGGAATGTATTGGTGTAAGTATTTATATTTAACTTCATGATTACATTGCGCTTTGCATCACACTGCTTTAATTGGAGATCTTTAGTTGCTTTGTACGTCAAACGTAAAATGTCAGCACATAAAGCACTAAAAACTACATTATATAATGTAGATTGAGTATCTTAAGTACGTTACTCAAGTATGGTAACATAACTTCTATTTAAGGATTCAGGATCTGATCTTTCATCTCTGCATCCGTGATTAGAATTGACATGAATCATTTTCCCCACTAAATACAAAATGCAAAACACATTTCTGGATAAGAGCTAATGTTCCACTTAGCGATGCTCATAACACTACATTTTACAGAATTGAAAATACAATGTGTGTGGGAGACGGTTTCATCCGAAACAGATACTTCAGTTGGAAAATAATTAACTTAAAAGAAATCTTAAATACCAGGAGGTGGCAAACAGATGAATTACTGGTATCTGTCGTCAAACATATCATTCCTCAGAAAATAAATGAGCATGAAGCAGTGGAACGTCTTTTAATGAGCCCGTGGTCGCGTTAACTGATGTGGTGCCGCACAGCTTGAGATTTACCACGCAGCACGTCTCAGCATCTTGTGCAGCTGATAAGTCCATTTGCTTCATGTGAGGACACTGAGTCAGTGTGTCGGCGGAGAGAGGCGCGTTACACAATACAGAGGGTTGTGCTGAGTCCTAATTCACCTAAAAAAGCCACATGAGGACAGGCCTGTGTCTGACTGCGCTGACCAAAGAGTTTAATCTTAGCGATTCTCGCTCACGGTGTAACAAATATAATCTTCTGCATTTTTTTGCTTTCGGGGGCAAACAAGGAGAGACTTTAAATGCCGTACAAAGACGGGGGAGTAAATGTGAAACAACAAGAGCACGAGGAAAAGAAGAACTCTGCCCTCTGTTGGATGTGAGGGGGAAGAACAGCAAGCTGTTGCTTTAAGAGACGACTTCCAATTTGTTGAGTTTCCCCAGAACTTCTTTCATCTCCCGTTGAGTTAGATAAAAGATTTAACAACCAGTCATCCCACTTAAACGTTATCAGTGACCCTGTCCTCCCTTCTGAGGACGGGGTCTTCGGCGCAGGAGGCCGACATCAAACCCTCCAAAGGAGGCTGAGGAGTGACTGACTGCAGCACCAACAGAGACTGATAGGCCCCACAGGCCTGAGAGGACAGCTTTGGCCTTGAGAAGCACAAATCTTTAGAAATCCAACGTCCTGACAGAGAGAGGGAGAGAGGGAGAGAGAGAGAGAGGGAGGGAGAGAGGGAGGGAGGGAGAGAGGGAGAGAGAGAGAGAGAGAGAGAGACTCGACTGTCAACAGCTAGAGGAAAATCCTGCCTGAGGAAGTAAAGCTGACATCTAGATTGTTTCTTTTGTGCTCTTTTGTGGTGGGGAGTCGATGGAATGATGGGACAGGAAAACGCTGTGAATATTACATCTTTGACCTTTAAACATCAGAACAATTAGCCCATTCATGTATTAGTAGTGCATTCATTTATTAGGAAATCAACTTGATAAAAAAGCCAATAAAAAGGCAGAAAAGGATGTGTTTTCTTTGACATACGTTGGATTTATCAGTGCATTCGGTGTTTGAGGGAATCCTGCGTGTCTTCTTTTGAAGGCGATCATATGCAACCTTCTAACTACTTAAAACAACAACAAATCCCATTTACAGACGACAACTGCTAAATATAATCTGAACATCACCCATGTAAGAAATATTAAGTATGTCTTTGTTTGGGAAGTTAAGATACAGAAAACTCGCTCAAACTTGATCTTAAAAGAAAAGGTAACTTTTCCCCTGTGTGTGCAAGGCACTGTGTCCAAATGCTGCCGTTTACTATCTGCATAAAACCTGTTTAAAAAAGAACCACATTGGAAAATATCTCCTGGGAGATTGTCATTTCGACAGGAAGCAGGTGCCTCCTCCTAAACCTGGAAGGACAACTGCAACGCACAATAACAAGCGAGCACGATACATCTGAGAGCATTGGAGTAAACATCGACACAGTCGGAGGCTTCTTGAGGCCAGGCTGCAGCGGGGCAGGTTTTTTTTTTGTTTTAACCCTGCATATCTTGAAGAGCTCTAATCTGTACGAGAATCTATTTTGCTCCAACATCACATATAACTTACATAACCGTTGGTTGATCGTTTTTAGATTACACCATATTATCCTTGAGATCGCTTCTCTCCAGCCACAGTTTGTTGTATTTGCTGTGAAACAGCAAACTGCTGTAAATCCCCTCCTGTGCGACCCTTCTGTAGTTTTCCCTCAGAAGAGAGACAATCAATCTGATCTACTTAATCAATCTGGGACAGGACCTTTGAACTGCAGACAGGATTTCAAGGAAGTTTGTCATCCCCCCTCCGCCCCCCCAGCCCACGTCTGTGAAAACACTCCAGGGGGAGATTACGCCAAACAGCTCCGGCTCGTAAAACCCTTTTTATGTTAAAAACACACACCCTGGCCCTTCCCTGACGGACTCCAGAATATGTCAGAAAGTTATATATACTCCCGTTAATGCAGTGTGGAGATTAGCATTATGGTTCCTGAAGGTCGTGGGGGGGGGGCCGGGGATCTGTTTGAAACGAAAATCCTGCATTCAAGCCGCGTGCATCTGGCCTTTTTCGAACTCAACTGCATTGAGCATTTCAGAAAGAAAAACAAGTCCCCCTGCCTCCCCCGCAGTGAGACAACCCTCCCCCCTCCCCCCCGGGTGGCTTCTGTATGGGCAAACAAGAAGGAAAACCCAATGTTTTGCCCCTCTCCCCTCACCTCCCCCTGGGGCAGCGCTGTGTAGTAATAAACGTCCCCCAATAATATCTCCCCTCCACTCGATCACCCCCTTCTTCCAATATCCACTTTTTTTTCTTTCTCTTTCGGCTTCTTCTCTCCGGGGTAAACAGCTTTTTTTTTCTTTAGCGCAGCCTCGGCTCTTATCCCCCCCCCACCCCCCCCCCTTTCCTCTCGGCAACCAAACCCTGACATTGACTCACAGCCGGAGGGGCGTCTCCGTCACGAGCTCCTTCGCGGGGGCGGGAGAGCGGAAGAGGAAGACGCCGGACCCAAATGGGAGTGGTAGGGCCCCGGTGTCGCTTCCAAAGCCCCATTATTGTCACCGCGGCGGCGGGGGGGGGGGGGTCGAATCTGGTGTCAGGTCAAGGCCCGCGTGATGGAATGACAACGTCACACGTCGTGTACCTGCTGCTGAGGGAAGCAGAGCTGGGGGGGGGCGCAGGGAAAGAGTTAAAAAGGCCTGGCCGCCACCGGAAAGTCCCGCCAGTGAGTGACGTGACAGGCCTCCAATTAGGAGTAAATTAATTACAGAGTGGCGGATGAGAGGTGAAACCTTGAGGAGAGCGGGGGCCGTTTAAGGAGCAAGGCTTCCACGAGGGAAAGAGGCGACTCATAATAACAACTTTTTTTATTTTTTATATATAATATTTAACCATCACAACATCTGCCGAGAGCAACGGCAACTTTTTTTTTTTGTATAACTCAACGTCGGTATCCCCCCCCCCCCCACGCCGATAAACCAATAAACTGGCTCACTGTGGAGGAACTTTGGCCGCACGTCGGTGCCAAATAAAAAAGAAACCAACAACTGCTCAGTATTCGCGGTCGGTGCGGCCGCGTTGTTCTCTCAAACAAAGTGACAACCCCACTCAAAAGTTTGCCCCCTTCAGAAGAGGGTGGAGGAGAAAGCAAGCGGAGTTACCGCCCAGCGGCGCCGAGGCTCCTCCTGCAGAGGATTATAAAGCAAATGTCGGAGCTGGTGCAGGGCAGAGGGGGTGTTTCTGCAGGGTCCCAAACGCAACAGGAGCCGCACACCAGAAAACTCGGCAAACCTGCGCAACTTTTTTTTTTTTTTTCTCCTTCAAGCCGAGCATTACTTTATTTTTTTTGTTTTTGTTTTTGTTTTGTTTCGACTACTTTTCGAACTCCACCCCGGCCGCTGCAGACATGACCACAGCCGTGGCGTCGCCTTTCTTCGACTTCGACATAATGAACAAGGTTAGCTTCGCGTCTCTCTGTCCTGTCCCCCCGCTGTCTCTGTCTCTGTGCCTGGTGGTTTCTGTTAGCATGTTAGCCGCTGTGGAGGAATGACGCGCTGCACGCTCGCGGCCCTCTGCCGTGGCGCGCGTGCCTTTTTTTTTTAAAGGCTTTAAAAAAAAAAACTTTTTTAAAATATAGTTTTTTTTAATTTTTTTAATGCATTCCTTGTGCACCGCGTCTGCATCGGAGCCCTTGGCGGGTCCCGACCTCTTGTCCGCGTTGTGCTGTCGGGAACTTGATCAGTTGTCGTAATGTGTTGTAAACTTTCTTTGTTGAACACGTGCCGCGCGCGTTTACCGAACCGGACCGAAAACGGCCGCGGCGGTTTTTGACGCGCTGTTCGTGCCCTCTTGTCTGTTTTTTTTTTTTTTTTTTTTAATGAGCGCAGTTTTGCGCCACTTTTAATACTCTACAAAGCAGCCACATGCTCGCTAATCATTGACTAGATTTGTCTGGCTTTTACTTGCAGCTGCGGCCATAAATCGGTTTGCCGTGATTAACCGTGTTAATATTTCATCAAACTTTAACTTGGCTTTCGAAATATTAACGGTTCACCGGTGCGTCGACATCGCGCCCTCGGTTTTGTTTGCACGCGTTCAAATGTTTTCCTTTTTTCCCGCGCGGTTGTCCAGGAATAGTTATTTATTAACATGTCAGTGACCAAACCAGTCGTGTCCTCCGGTGTATTAAAGTAGATCGGCCTTGTCACTGAGCCAGAGGGATGCATCGCCACCTTCCTTCTCTTCGTGCTCCATTTACTAAACAGGCGCACATTCCTACCCGCGGCATCGTGCCAAACCAGCTGCTGTTCCATAGGCCTGCATCCGCTTGTGTTGTTGGAGCCAAAAAAGACAGTCGTGCAAGAGGAGCCTGTGGTTTTTCCTGCTTTCTCTCCAGCCCACTCGCTGTCTTTTTTTTGGAAAGAAATCTGGGCCAGTCGAGGGGATCATGTAGAATATTGATCCTAACGATTTGCTTTTTCTTTGTTTCTCTGCAGAACAACAAACTGCTCAGCTACAACAACAACAACAACCTGGGTGCCCCCCATCCCATGTCTGTCCCTTGCACTGGCACGAGTGTGCCCATCTCCTCCAGCCCCGCCGGAGTCCTGCTGGACAGGAAGGCGGTGGGCTCTCCCTCGGTGGGAGGCATGTACCAGCGGCGGCACTCGGTCAGCAGCACTCGGTTCAGCCAGAACCAGTTTCTGAACAGCCTGAAGGCGGCGGAGCACTCCTCGCTCATCTCGGGGCTCGGCGGCGGCAACAACAACAACAACAAGGAGAACCGCCTGCGAGACCGCTCCTTCTCCGAGACGGGCGAGCGGCTCCTCAACAAGTGCCTGGGCCCCGCCAGCCCCACCGGCGGCAGCCAAGTGAACTCGAGCCGCTACAAGACGGAGCTGTGCCGGCCCTTCGAGGAGAACGGTTCCTGCAAGTACGGCGACAAGTGCCAGTTCGCCCACGGGATCCATGAACTACGCAGCCTGAGCCGCCACCCCAAGTACAAAACCGAGCTGTGCCGCACCTTCCACACCATCGGGTTCTGCCCGTACGGGCCCCGGTGCCATTTCATCCACAACGCCGAGGAGCGCCGCGGGCCTCCCCAGCAGTGCTCACCTCTCAACCCTTCCAACAAGATGGACCGGCCTCGCCTGCAGCACAGCTACAGCTTCGCGGGCTTCTCCAGCTCAGCCGGACTGAGGGACAGCCCCACCTCGGTCACCCCGCCGCCCATGTTCTTCCCCGACGAGGTGCCGGACTGGCCCAGCAGTAACCCGTTCACCTACTCCAGCCAGGAGCTGGCCAACCTGTTTGGACCAAGCCTCAGCGCCGGCCCTCTGGGCACAGAGCCCCACGCGCCCGCACCCCCCTCTCCAACGAGCACGCCTTACTATTTCAGACCCATGTTGGAGTCCCCGCAGATTTTCGAGTCTCCAGCCAGCCCCCCCGACTCTCTGTCAGACCAAGAGGGCTACCAGAGCAGCTCCGGAGGCAGCCTGAGCGGCTCCGAGTCGCCCACGCTGGATACGACCCGCCGCCTGCCCATCTTCAGCCGCCTCTCCATCTCCGACGATTAGGCCGCGAGCATCCACGAGTGACTTAAAGAGTTCGATGACACAAAGAGAACACGGCACTCCCCTCTACCTCTGCGCCCTCGTCCCAGGTCCCCCATCCATCCACACACACACACACACACACCGTTTTAGTTCCTTGTCAGGATAACAAGGACGTTAGTCAGTTAAGGGAAATCTCTTGTCATTTCACCCCTGTTAATCTGCACAGCAAGTTTAAACCGTACTCTGCCACGTGTCATAGTGCCAAAAAAAAAAAAAGGAGAGGAAATTGAACAATGAAAATCATGAAAACATTGACAGTTTTTCCAGGTGCCACTTGTTTCTTGTTTCTTTTTTTTCTTTATTAGTTCTTGAATGTGTAGCAGCACAAGTGGCCTTGGAAAGGGGAGTGCTTTGCACTAGCCCCCCCCCCCCCCCCCCCCCCCCCCCCCCATCTTCGCTCTCTCCCGCGCTCTCCCGCCCTTCTCCCTGGCGATACCACTTCCCCAGAGCTAGCTAGCGGGTGCTCACTAACTTCTCTAGATCTACCGCAGCCGTTTTTACCGTCTGAGCAAAGGAAAAAATAGACCCTGAAAATATATGAATAGTTTTTAAAAGAAGAAAAAAAGTGCCTGGGGCGGTTTCTGCATGTGTTGAGGGTGAATGGACTACTGTTTTCTCATTTACCCCCCCCCCCCCCCCCCCCCCCTTCAGTTCTTCTCAAGCCCGGCTTATGTAATTGTGGACTGGGTGAGTCTGCAGGAAGGACTTTGAACTGGAAGTTGGTTATGTCCCCCCCCCCCCCCCCGCCCCGAGCTTCTCCCACTGTTGCTGGTCACTGGCTCTTTTTCTTGGGCAGGAAATTTTGATATCAAACTGATCATTAAACCTGTAAGACTTGGCCCCGCCCCTCGACCCCGCCTCCCAGCCTTCATCCTGGCCGGTCTGGGGAATTCCAGCATTCCCATGGTGCAGTTGAACATCCTGCGATCGGATTTCCAAGCTATTTCACTTTACTTCTTCGCCCACTTTAGTATCTGCTCTCAGGAGCACTCTGTTCTCATTACATCCTTTTTTTTTTTTTTTTGCTTTATTTGATAATTATTTTTTATTAATGTTATTACGGTTATTGTTTGAAAAGCTTTCTGAACAGAAGGTTTTGCTTGTCACTGCTTATTTAACTTATCAGAACATATTTATTGCTGATCATATGCTTTTTTTTGGTTAATTTTGTTTTGTATTTATCTGGATAATGAACAATAGAATATATTTTCTTTTATGTTAAATTATGATCTTCCATATTAATCTAAAGATTGTGAAGACGTTTTTGTCAGTTTTCCTTTTTTCACAGTTTAATATATTGTACTTCAATGACTTTTGTTCTGCAACTACACTTTGTCAAAATGAACCTTAATTTAAAGCAAAAAAAATGCAAAAAAAGATGTTTTGCGTTTTGATTATTTATTGTACGTTGTTTTCTTACTCCCTCTTATCAGACTGCAATTTCGTCTTTTTTTTCCTAGATTTGCTTGTATTCATTCCTGACATTTCCCCCTTCACATCTTCGAGTAACCTGACCGTAACGGTAGCTAACTGTTATTACATTGATTAACTTGGTGTGTTTTTGTCCCCAGGTCTGAGTATTCACTCGCAACATTTGGGTTGACGGTGGGATTTAAGGGGGGGCTGGGAGACTTCTCATTGGGTTAGGGGAGTCTGCAAGTCAGGACTGCTTCTGTTGAAATGTTTTGTCAGTAATGTTCTTGCACCCCGTGTCTGTTATTACAAGCAATAGCTGTGACCAAATGGGTTGAGGAAAGTTAATTTTGTTTTCATTTTAATTAGATTGGATGCTTGATGCACTTGCTTGGCCCCCTCTTGACCATTGGAAGTGCCTCTTACATTCATACATTACATTACATACATTCCAGGTAGCTAAGGCTTCACTGCCGTTTTATAATTGGTAAATGGAGGACAATTAAAGTTTCTTTTTTTTTTAGGTCACTTGTTCCGTTTCCTCCATGTTTTGGAAGAGGTGAACAGATTTTGACAAAAAGAAAGTAAAACAGTTGAATGTATTTTTTCAGCCATGTTTTCACTACAGTAATTTCTGTGAGGTTTTTTTTCTCTTTTGTAAGAATTGATTGCAGTTAAGTCAATAAACCCTGTATTTTTTGAAAAGTTAAACTGTGTAATGAGTTGTGTCCTTGGGTTGACATCCAAATGCTCCGCACAAATATTCAGTTAAATAAGCGCTGCAAAATCTGTTCAACGTTGAGGTCCGATAATGTCGATTGGCGTTATCGGAAACTTCACACAAGACTGAGGAAAAACGTGTCAACGATTGACCTTATTGTCACATGCCGCATGAAAAAAAACGCCAAGTATCCCAGGGATCGTTGTTGGGTGCGCTGCATACAGCTACTTGAGCGCACTTTTCATCATGCCGATTTTCTTAAAATGGATCGTTTCCTTTAAAAGCGTGCTGCCGAAAACGTTTAGCATTTTATTTAAAAATGGGAAATCGGACCGACTGCTTCTCTGTAAATAAAGGAGAACCAAAGGGAGTTTCACTGCGGTTGAAGTTGATTGGCGAGCGGAGCAGTTGGGGGTATTGACCTGGCGATGATCAAACTGAGCACCTTTTGGTTACGCAAAGTCAAGGCACTGCTGGTTTCAGCAGAAATATTGATCAGGGGGCTGTGACGGTCACGTTTCCGAGAATAAAATTCTTTTTTGGGAGGGGTTATCACCTGGTCCATGATCCTGAGGTTACCGGTAGACCGATCGATTCTTGTGTTTGGGTATTCCTTAAAAAAAATGGGATGAACAATTGGGTCATAGGTTGATCAAAATTATATATATAGCACATCAATACATACCATTAATAAAGCAGAGTGGTATTTTGACTCACAACAACCCACAGACCGCTTCCCCCTTCATGCACTCAACATCCAACCTGCTTTCGCTCGCCCTCTCTGCACACTTCCGTTCGTCCGTGTTTATATTCTCTCAGATTGCCGGAACAGGAACTCCCTTCCCTCCATACAATGGTGGGTGCTGACCCGTCACAGCTGACCCGTGGAGACCTTGTTGTTGCATTACTCCAGAGAACCTGTGCCTGCTGGATTCATGACGCGTTCCTTTACCCCCACCTCATTGACCCCGCCGCCTGCGGAGACCCTTCCCTGCATACCGGGGAGGGGAACTGGGAAATTTCCTTGCAAACACAGCTTTTTTTGTATTTTTCATACTCACAGTTCATTGCTCACTTGTACGTCTTGTTTAATTGTATTTCACACATTCCTCTAAAGGTAACCCTAATGTGCACATTGTGCTCTAAGATTTAAGATTGAGATTTACGCATCTCAAACCAAACCAGGTGAATATGACTTGAAAACATCTTTTTTTCTTTTCTTTCTGTTGTTACACCCTTTAAGAAGAAGGTAAACTGCGTGCAGCGTGAGGGACATGAAAGAGGGCTGTTTCCTGTTTGTGTGGTGCACACGGAGGCACCTTGAGACGCAGCACCAGGAAGCGGGTTTCTGAACCTCCAGCAGCAGGTCTGAAGGGTGGCTGAGGGGGGGGGGGGGGGTGTCTGCTCTGTAATATGTGACAGGAACACGTATCAAAGAGCCCTAAAAAAGACTTCTATTACTTACGTCACTTATGACAGCAGGTTGCTTTCCAACATGGAAACAGCACGGTGACACGGATGGAGTGTGTGGTTCATTCACTGCTTCCTGCGCAACAGGATAGAGCAGGTGTGCAGCTTCACTCTCAGTATCTTCAACCACCTTTAACCCGCACGGTTGAGCAAGAGAACGTGGCGGCATGTACACTTTGTAATTGTGCTATCGGAGGCAGGTTCACGCCTTTGTCTGAGATGGAGGTGAGCAAATAGTTCTGCACGGTGCTATTTCCCTCATCTACGCTCTCAGCTGAGTGCAGGGCAGCTGTAGCCGAGCGTGCATGCGTGTTTCTGCATCGCTGCAGAGGGACAGGTGACGGGGAAGAGGATAATAGATGACCAAACGGGGGCCGAGGTCGTCACTGAGGGATGAGGTTAGGCCATTCGAAGAGCGCTTTGTCTGTAGAAACAGACAACGTGCGATCAACCTCCTCCAGACACACAAACCAGAGCAGTGAGAATTTGTGAAGACTGAACTTTCAATGCTCGTGGTTGGATTAGTTGGTGGTGAAAACGTAAGCTGACAGTTTGCGACACAGATCCATGACAAGAGTAGAACAAAAAGGCATTGGTGCTCAATCTTGAAGCAAAAGTTTGACATTTTGGGAAATACTAATGTTCTGGCGGAGAGGTAGATGAGACAATTGATACCACTCTCTTGTTTGTATCGGAAGTAAGAAGCCACAGCCAGCAGCTGGTTAGCTTAGCGCAGCACAATCACTTGAAACAAGTGCAAACAGCTAACTGGAGTCTGTAAAAAGTAAGAAAAAAATCCACATTCCAGCATCTCTAAACTTTATCAGCACCTGTTGCCAAGCAAACAGAAAATTCTTCACCTACAAAGAGATCCGTACGAAAACCACAGATAACAGATTACCGTTTGCTTTTTGTGTAGATCAAACAAAGTAGCTATTTCCCCCAATTTACCGTTTTTCTTCATATTGGGAATAGACAGCGAGAGAGGGATGCAGCTGTGTACGAGCATGGAAGTTAGGGAACTGCCCTAAGTGCCTTAGATAAGCCATCCGACCACCCATCCAACCGTCCATCCATCTTCAAAGCTGCTCATCCTTAATATTGCGGGGGGGGGGGGGGGGGCACCCTGGATTGGTTGCCAATCTAAAGGCCCCCACGTTCCGAACCCCCAAAGCATTGCTTTTGATTGGGGGAGGAACCTGGAGAACCCAGAGAAAACCTCATCGCACTCGGGGAGAACTCGGCTCCCATGTGAGGGGAGTCCAAAACGGGGGCTCTTGACTGTCGTGTTCATATTTAATGTTTCATACTGGTCCCGACATGGTGGTTGGGGACCCTGTTTAGGGGACAGACCCGTGAACCTGGCCACTGCCTCTGATGGACCTGCGGAGCAAATGTTTAGTGAAAGCAGAGCTTTCACCTTCTGTGTGGCTTCACGGGTGGGATCGTGGAGAGTTAGAGTCTTGTTTTCCCAGATACTGAAATTCTTAACTTAATTATGGGGATGTGTTTTATAATGTGTGTTAACAAGGGGCCTCCTCAACCCATCTCTAATTCCTTCCTGACTATTATCTCCCTGTAGAGTATGTATGTAGGAAGTTCACCATCTGGATACAAAACAATAGAGATGAAAAGCAGCAAAAAGTGGATTAGCTTCAAAAGGATGGTTCCTTTAATTGACAGTTTGATCACTTTCCCAATGCATTTACTGCCTTGTAGTTGTGCACTTCTCATTATGACTATTGTTCTATTATAAACCTTCTGCATATGCAACACTTTTCTCTCCGGTCGTGCAGATTTCTCTGCTGCCTGCAGTGAAATGGCGGGCTTTATCTTTATAGGTCGATGGCCATATGCGTCACGGTGAGACTGATCGCAGATCAACAAAGACAACAGTCCCAACCGCTCCCTGATCCTGTGGGTTTAACCCGTGCGCTCCGCAGCCCTGTTATCCAGGCGGCTGAGGCCTTGGCACACTGCTTAGCGAGTAATAGCCACCAGCCCTGCCGGGATCCAGTGTCACATGTGCTGCTCCGCTCGCCGCCCCCTGCCCCCGCGGGCTAAGTGGCAACCCCTTGACCTGTGAGAGAAAGGGGAGACAAAAGCACAAATGTGTTGAGCCGAGTCTTGCGGCGTCCGATGGCCGTCTTACAGGTTGTGGAAACACACCCTTCCACTCCTCACGGTGACGGGGAAAACAAACACGAGGCCACTAGACTCTGGCTGAGCCCCGCGCTAACGGACAAGCGACGACTTTCTGGCCGGCCAATGGGAGAGACCCGTACCGAACCCGACTGCTGTGCTTTGGGTTTCTGGTCCACTGGGCCGAGTGAGTCTCTCCCTCTGCTCTCCTGAGTACTGAACCACTTAACTCTTCCTGTCTCATGACTCCCAACACCGCGGCCCGGTGGGAGGAAAGTGGGCTCCATTAGAAGAGATTAGAACACCTGCTGTGCGTTTTGACCCACTGCTGCTCTAATTGGGACCTTACAGGATAATAAGAGTTTATAACGAGTTACTGGTGGGGTTTTGGACACTATTTCCATTGCTTTGAATAACATTTTAGAGATCTGGGAACATCATTATAACACAGCATGACATGTCAGACGCACAATAGACAGCAGTTTATCCGTCTAATGAAATCCAATGGTTCCCAACTTTTCTTTTGCCCTTGACCCCTAAAATAAAAGCCCTGTGTTGTTGCCAACCCTCTACACAGCGTGCATGGGTTCAAGAGGAGCAACAAGGCGTGCAATCAAAACTG